ACGTTTTCAATCGTAGCTTGCCAACTTTTGACGGACGTCCGAAAAATGCTGGACTACATTCGAGGGGATGTACAAACACTGTGTTCAAAGCTTCATCCGTGGCAACACTTCTTTTCGGGTCGGGTTGGAGTGCATGGAAGGGGTAATGCTCTCCCGCGTTATTCCATACAAAAGAAGAAGAAAAATGGCCATGTCTCTCATTCACGTGTCAACACACAACAAAATGAGAGACCAAACTGTCTGCAACACCTTTCTTAGCAACCTCAAGAAAACTAGTGATTTGCGATATCCGCAAAGATTATCCGTAGAAATAAGAACGACACGGATATATACCAACAATCAGTTCTTGATAATATTCGTTCAAAACTCTAGTACGTACTGCGAAGTGACCCTCAAAACTTTTCAATATACCGGTAGGGAAGATACGGAGCGAGGGCTTGCCTTGCATTATAAAGGCACTCGAGTGTTTTTTGTGGAAACTTGTTTTTGATGGCATATTGCTTCTCGGGCTTTAGTGAATAAAAATGGCCAGTTCTATACTCATTTTGACCTCAAGAAAAAAGGAAGTTTCGCGCATTGTTCAAACGCGACACGAAATAGTTCTTACGAGATTTGGTTGTCGGAAGAAGAAGCGACGGTTGTGGCGTTTGAAACGTGTCCGTCTTGATAAGATAGCATATGTCTAATATAAAATGCCCCCCATCTATCATAATCCTCCCAATAAAGGAGGAAATTACTAATGCTCCACGTAGAGCCGGACTTTTTGACTACGGTTTTTCAGGTGAGAACGAGTGTAGACGGCGAGATGTTCTAGTAAACTCGCAGCAATAGAAATAGAGGGGCGTCATTTTCTCTTGAAGGTCGTCTTCGGGTCCCTGCCACCTCCATAAAATTTGACAATGAAAATAATTATTTTAAGAACGTCGTCGGACGGCGCCTTCTGGTGTCTGCTCCAAGGCGCAGTAAAAGGCGCTTGTCCCGGTGTTTTATTAAATTTTTAATAGAAAAATTTATCTAAAAATATGTCATTTAGACTTTTTTTAGGATGTTTAGATCTTATACATTGAGTTATCATCATAAATAGACGATCTGATCCACTTGAGTGCTCCTTAAAGTACAAATAAAGAAACAATTACCTATGCGAGCATAAAAGCGAGTATTGGTATTCCAGAGCGTTATGCGGGCTTCAAACGGGTCATGAAACGATTTTTATACTTTGGCTAAATAGTTCTCAGAATCACTCCCTAACGTAAATAACCAAATAGACTTGTCTTGATTTTTCTATCTAGGCAATGTCAGTCCGCCAAAAAATTCCATAAATATGAGCATCGTCCATATGCTCAACTTACAGTCCCTCGATAAAATTCCCGCTTTCAAGTACCACCAACCATTGTTGTAGGAACGTTAACGTGCAGGACACGTGCCACGAGCGGGTGCTCCGCCGCCATTTGCTTCCAAGGACGGCTCGAGACACGGGCCTCGTGCACTGGTGCATTTGACGCTATCTCGCAAGGCAAACAGAAACACATCGAGGGGCTTTAGCTCAACTCGAAACCAGAACAAGCGGCCGCGTTACCTAGTGCCTATCCTATGCCGACAACGTTGATTATAGCGCTGGGGTCGCCAGGGTAGAAAACGTGTGCTGAGCTCCAGGCATTGTTAGAGTTTGGCTATTCTCATCACTGGAGTGGTTGGACACGATCCACTACCCGAGTGTCCGCCGGGCATTCATCGTTACGAGCCCCGAAGTGAGTACTCACGAAGTTTTCGTGTCCAATCCACGAGCCGCGCTCGACTGTCGTCAGGCAGGGGCTTTCGATCCCCACAACTACATGGGGGGGGGGGGGGGGGGGGGGGGGTAGAATCGGTGGCTGAGCGATCTAGCGCAAACCAGCTTGGAGGACGTGGGGAGAAAGATCGCGCTGCGAAACCCAGGATCCTGGGCCGAATCCCCACGCCTTCCAGTCTCGATCTGGACGGGCATCGTACCGACGTGTGGTTGTGTATCACTACTGTGTGACGCACGTTAAAGAACCCCAGGCTAGTGGTTGTACTGCACTGGCTAAGTTGCTCATCTACAGCTGAGAGACAAGTCGCTCCTTGAAGGCAGACTAACTTCGAGGCTGTATCAACATACCCATAACCAATATTTTTTTCTTTCCCGCAAGTATACGTCATCAAGCTTTGCGTAGGCGAGACTGAGAGAAACAGTCCTTTTTTATCCTCGCAATTTCACCGTGACCAAGAAGCTTCGGATTCAGTGGCGGTCCGTCCGAGCACGCTTGGGCCAGACTAGAACCAGTACGCCTCTGCAAAGTCACGAACATTCGAACCCGACATATAGTTTTTATGAGCCCTTCAAGGCCGCAGCTCCACAGCACGTCAACTTAAGTATCTTGGAAACTTTTTTTTAATGTATGCTACCCCTCGGTGCGTTTGAAACACGTATCATTCTAGCAATTGACAGCTTGAAAAACGCAGAGCTTGGCAAGTTCCCAAGCATCTCATTATCGGTCGGCAGCCAATCAGATTCCGGCATTAGCCGATGAGAACGTTCAAGAACAAATCACGTAGCGAGAAGCAAGATCGTAATATGCCACGCCCTGTGTTTCTTTAGAGTGACTATTAGCGCCGAGATGTTTCGGTGGCGCCGTCTTACGGTTTCCGTTCGTGACGTCACGACCAAGATTCGCCTCGCCATGATCGGCAGGATTTGCCCCGCCGTGAACCGGCGATTGGGCAGGCATTATTGGCATACGGGGAAGCTATGGCTTTGGCCAATCGCAAATGCCAACCACAGCGACGTTTTTGATCGGGCACGTCGCTTATAGCACTTTTTTTTCTGTCAGTTTACAGGGAGGATGGTGAACGATAGGGGCACTTCGGTTGCCATGCAGTCTTAGTTGCAAAACAAAAACAAGAAAAACATGCAACCTTCTTGCCATTGAGAACGCGCGTCCATTGAAACATGATATATCACTCGCTCTTCTCATTTGCGGAGTTGATCAAAAGGAGAACCATCGAGATTAATTACTCAGGAACTTCCGAGTAAGCAGTAGAATTAAGGAACATTATCTTCACATACCTAATCTCTCTTAGTGGCACACTTACCTCGTTCATTTATTTTAAATAGACTAAGTCTGCAGTGCTTCTTGCCTTGCCCCTCCCCCCCCCCCCCCCCCTTTGTTGAAGAGTCATGGCATTTTAACTGGGGCAAGAAAGCAACCCTCTCTTTGTTTTCTATTGGAACCAGGTTATCATCGGAGCATGGTATCAATCACCCTTCTTATTGGCGGAGTTGATCAAGGAAAGACCAATGATTGGCCACTCAGAGAATTTTGTGGAGTAGACCTGGTTCACAATAGCTTAAGCTACTCGCCTGATGAGAAAAATCTGTCTGTTGCGTTCAATACATTAAAAAAATGCTTTGCGGAGCTGGTGTAGAAATTCTCAAGTAACTTTCTTCTTGCGTTGCCCTCATTGAGGCTTCGTGGCATTTTAATTAGGACAAGAGCGTGTTCACCCCTTTTATTACTGAGGCCAAGTGACCATTGTGACATGATATCAATCTCCCTTCTCATTGGCAGAGGTGATCAAAAATAAGACCAATGATTGCTCACTCAGGAACTTCTGAGCGCGCAGTGTATCTACAGGACGTAACAACTCGAGCTACCATGCCTGTCGTGAAAAACATCGGTCTTTACGGCGTTCGAGGACATCTTAAGAAACGAACTTTCTGGAGCTGCTCGAGAAAGTCCGAAGGGACTTTCTATAGTTCGGGTAATTGCTTTTGGCAGGGTCTCCATTCCGTGAGCGCAAGCGCCTGTCTTCTGGTGCGCTGCGCCTTGTTCTTGCTCTCGCATCTCGATAATTGTTTGGTAATTTGACGGGGTCCCAGTTCTTGCTGCGAGGTATAGGAGCGATTCTGGGGGCTATCTCTAAGCTTCCCGAGTAGGCTGGGGACGAGGAAGCTTCGGTCCGTTGGAAAAAAATAAAAAAAGAGTCCCCCGCCGCGTCTTTTGACGTGGCGTCTCGGATGACTCGCTTCTGGGGCGCTGCCGCTCGGGTTGCGATAAGGGCGTGTGATTGATTTGTCTGCGGTGGAAGCCGTCTCGAATTGCTCTTGTGAGATTTTCCGAAGTTTCCCTGTGCGTTCATTCCGCTCGCTCTTTCGGACATGGTCGTGTGAAGGCTACATATGAAGACGCGGACGCCTTCGCAGGTTGGACTGTTCTTCAGGATTCGTTATTTGTACCTTGAACCACTGACACTGTCTGGCAGCTTAAAGAACGTCGGGAGTGACGAGTCCGGAGTATTTTATTGTCCCTCCACAGCCAACGAGATTGAAGCTTTATTTGATAAAAACGCCGAACAACGAACACCGAATCAAGAACGGTAAACATTGTAAAACACGCCCTGCGTTATTAAAGCTGTCTCTTTACATAGCTTGTTCGTACCCAGGCACATTGTTTGGTGTGAACGTTAGTGCACGAGTTCTCGACCGATTACTTTCCTCGTCGAAAAGAAAACGTTGAAAAAATAGCAAGTTATGAATGGAATACTTGGCAAATATGTCTTCACGTGATGTTTCTAATAATGCGATCCCTTCACTCGGGCGGAATGCTTACGTGGCAAGTCAACGCGGACGCGGGACTCACATCGTTCCCCGAGGACGTTATTCCCAGACAAAAGAGTTACTGTGGCCAGTATACCGTAAAGTTAGTTTGTGTTATTACGAACACATGCGCTTCCGTGTCGTTGCTTCAGGAAGTGATAATATACCGAATTAAAGAGCACCATGAGAGGCTAAAGTAAGAAAAGGAACCTTACTTTCTGGAGGTCATTGATACAAAAACCTTGTGTCTTTTTCGTGTCTTGGGAAGTCAAATTTATGTTTTGTACTCCTGTGTACTTTAGCACACTTGTAAACGCCCCAAAATGGCTAACAGCCCCAATAAAAAATAAAAAAGTTCACAAATTAGTGTACCGTTTTTCGCAGAATGACGCCCAGCTGGACCGCCTTGTTCCTCTTGGCCTGCCTCCTGCTGGCCACGAGAGCCACAGACCTTACGACGCTCAACAGCGCGGGACAGAGCATCCACGACATCAAGGGCGGAGCCGCCACCACCATCACCAAGAAGGGCAACCCGCTGCTCATGCTCATGGAGCCGGCCCTGCCTGCGCTCAAGTACATGCTGCCGCTGATGGCGCTCCTGGCGCTCCCGGAGTTGCTGAGTTCTGCGCTGAGTGGACTCAGGGGCGTCGCGGGATTCGGCCAGGGATACGGGGTTCAGGCCCGGGGACGTCGCTCCGCACCCGTCGACTTCGTAGAAGGGGCCCAGCAGATGATGTCGCTGCTCAGCAGGCTCGACGAGGCCGTGCAGAAGTACGGGAGCCAGGAGGCCGCTTGTCAACTCCGGGCCATGTGCGAGCTGCATCGGGGAGGCATGAGTCCCGAAGCCGGCGTCATCGCCAAGAATCTCATCTCTTTGCTGAAGTGAGTGGTGTTGGATGAAAGCACGACGGCACATGCACGCGGGTTTTCTCGTTTGGAATTACAGCGTTATTGTCGAACTTGGCTTGCTAATAGCTCTCTTCTAGCTTTTTTTCAGTCGCACTGATTTTTTTTAAGTGTACAAAGTAGAATGTTGAAGTGTCAGTGCTTCACGAAAAAAAAAAAGAACATGGTACACTCAAATTTCAAAAGTATCGGAAGTTCCGTGCATATGTTTTCTTTATATAATAAGCGTCCCTGAGATACCTACTGATTGTAATAGACCCTTCCCGAAATTCAGTGCCATCTGGTGGCTATAATGGCAGTTTAACATTTGCCGTACTAATGGCGGCAATGAAAATGTAGTCTGCCATATTTTATCGGGTGCCGTCACTTTGGCAACTCAATAGCAAATGACAGTGTGCGCTTCACTATACATTTCCTTCTCGATCTCTTTTAGTGACGACAGAAACGAAGATGCAACCAGTCAGAACGAAGCGTCAACCCACGTACACGGCTTGATAAAGTTATACAAATCAATGGCCTTGGAGCACCTTGATGCTACCAACAGATTGATTGGGCCCGAGCTAGAAATGAACACTTACGCAGATCGTGCTTTCAGTTCCTGCTTCGTATCGTACTAACGTCACGAATGTATAAGCTTCGAATTATCTGCGGAGGAGCATCTTCAACTTCTTCCTTCATCAGTAAACAGAAGGCCGCCATTAGTACGGCACAAATGCCATTTTTCAGATGATGATAGTGATCAAAGTGGCCAGACTGAATTTCGGAAAGGGTCTATTCTGCTTTCCGACCACAGATTATTCATTAATGTTTGTGTTATATCACAAACACAATAATTGCACTTTTTATTGTGCATATAAAAGAGTTATGCAGTTGGTTGGTCTTGTTGGCGTATACCGCGTTCAATGACCAATCGGTAATTAACTGCTGTTTGGGTAGTTCCGAAAATATCCGCCCCAACGAAACAGGATTGACCGCCTTATCGAGGTACGACATTCATCACGTGATCACAATGGCGGATCGACCCGAGGTATATCGTGCAAGTGTTTAAAAACCCACAGATCTCAACATTATTTTCAACATTATCTACCTTTCTTTACATCAGCTGCCAGCACGAGGCACGTCATCTGTGGTTGTTTTTAGAGCGCTATTCTCAATGCGATGGCCCTCTGCCGATACACGGGAACATGCATACGCAAAATCGTGTAACACCCGCTATGTACCAAACTCATCCCGGAACACGTGTGTAAAGAACAGTGGCGTAGGACGTTACCCTCGAATTCAAGATGGAACATAGTTCCACTTTCTCAGAGTTCGCGTTGGTAGCTCCTCCCATTGCCATCCTTATTCCCATGCCGAGTGCATTAGTACTAAGAAACCGTGTTCTTTTGTAAGAGTGCACCGAATTCATTTGTTCCAGGGTTGAGAGCCGAGTCGAGCGATCCACGATGCCGGACGACCAAAAAACGGCGCTACGAGACTTTCTGCGAGCGGCGCAACACGGCCTCCACCACCGCAACTGCACGCAGATCTACAGCGGAGAGTGTCCGGACACCACTTCGTAGGCATAGACACACGTAGACTACCAATTATTTGACAGCGCCGTTTGTCGCAGAACCGAAGTAACTGAGATTATTTGTTTGCTCAGGGGGTTTCCTTCAACGTCCAAGCGCTCCACGGGATACTGGCACAGTCTTAACGGTAACCCGAATAATTTTGTTAATTACTTTCGGATCAAGTGCCATTGGAGCCGGCTGGATATGTTTCGGCTTGTTCTCTGGTGGGGATGACTTTGCTCTACTTAACGCGAACCCTTTGTACCTCATGGAGTACGGCTGAAATATCCGACCAGAGCATATAAAAAAAAAAAAAAAGAACTGTCCGGGACAGGTAACAAATACGCGCGCAGCATCGTCGCTGGAGCTTCATAATTTTTAAGAATTTTTTAGTAAATTTTCTGGTTTCCATGCAGGTCATATCAAAGGATTGTTTCAAGATTCATCTGAATCCACCATACTGCAGGTATTGCAGAACAAGAATTTCTTGAAGAACTGTAAATCCCATAAAATTAGCCGAAGAAAAACTATAGTATCCGACGAGTTTTCCGCAAAACGTTACTCTTCAAAGGTCAATGCACAACATTATTTTTATTTCTCCAGGCCAAGTTCTCAAATTACAGTTAGAGGGGCGCTAAATTCCCTTAAGATTGGCCTTACAATTTTATAATGCATTAGCAACATCGCATTCACTTCATCAATTCATCGAGGCTACTTACCAGTTACTTCTATCATTAATTATATTAAAAACATTCGAGTATCCATCATCACACGTATGAAAGCCGCACGGTACCTTCTGCATGCGCAGAAGGTGCCGTGCGGGGTCTTGTAATTCATTTCACTCACAATATTGCGTGTTCCGCTAACACAGATGAATGTTACGTAAGTAACGACAACGTTACGTGTGATGTTTACCCGGATTGTAATTTAATACAGTGATATGGTTTGAGCGGGTCAATGAATATATTCGGCGTGCAATATATTTTTTTTTATTTGTTGCCATTCCACTCATAATGCGGCATGCGTAGCTGCCAACGTTTCGGGAGGCGCTCGAACAAATCGCTCTCGAGTCCAAATCTGGTTATTTGGTGTCAAATCATTTTCGACTGTCAGACCATGTACGAGAACCGTCCCTTCGCTATCATCATTGTTCATCATTGTTCACTAGCATAAAAGGTTCAGATCGATCGCGTAGCACCAGATATCACTATCATTCACAGCATTTGAGTCGTCATTCATCTTAGCGAATCCGGTGGCAGCAAACCATGTTATGGAGTCAGGTGCCGTGCAATACCAATCACAACCACTGTCAAATGCTGGAAAACCAGGCCAATGTTGCAAACATGCTTCTATTGAGACCTCACTTGTTGGCGACAGACTTGCTGGCATTCTGAGTAGATAAACACCAGCAAAAAAGACTTCCTACAATATCGTGTATGGATCCCCTTAAACAACCGGAGTAGCGAACGTTTTGATGTGTGAATCAACCGATCGCCAGGCGAGTTCATGTGTACTAAATTTTGTATCATCATAACTGCCAGAGAGGCAGAAACCAGAACAGCGGCCGCGACGCTTTGAGTGAGCGTACCGCGCGCAAGAGCTCATGCAGTGAAAACGTCTTTTAGGGCAACACGCTCGCGTTAGTAGGCGCTTTAATTAGACCGTACGCTGCGGAGAGCGCACCCAGCGGGCACGTGCTCAATCCATGCTTCAAAGTGACGGCACGAGCTCCCGCCATCAAAGCCCAGCTCTAGAATGCGATCTACCAGGCTCTGCTGTCTACTAAAAGTCTCCAGTAGCTCGACTTGGCTCGCGCTTGTAGTGAAACGCAGTTTAACCGACGGAAATTTCGCTAGAGCCACCTCTTTCAAAATTGAAATAGAGTTAATCGCCGGAACGTCAAAGGGTACTACTGTTCCAGTTAGAGGCAAAGTTGGCTCTAGATCGAGTCCGTGAATTGTTGTGTCTCTTCTTACAACTTCCTTTAATATCGAGTTAATATACATGGATAAACCTACCTCAAATTTTATGCACAAACTAAAGCGAATAGACGGTAGTTGAAGCGAATGTAAGGGCGCAAACGAGACGGTTTAGATAGAACATAGCACAAACTCCGAGTCTGCAAGCCAAAAATGACACGAACACCCTAAAAGGCCCCGAACACAATTCTGCTCAGCAGAGCTGACAGAGCTGTGTTCAAGACATTTTAATGTTCGTGTCGTTTTTTTTTTTTTTTTTTTTTTTTTTTTTTTGCAGTTTTGGGTTAATTCAATGTTAGCGGTCACCCATTACAAATGACGACATTACCGGTAACGCGTTACTTTTTCCGGTAACGTTGTAACGTACTCGTTACTTTTTTTCAAAATTGTCACGAGTAAGGTACTTACGTTACTTATTTCGAATAACGTGCCTATCCTCGTTACCTATTCATCCAAAGACTTAAACAAATTACACTTAAATTTTGTTTCGTGTTTCTTGGCATTAAGCTATGTATTTTTTTTTTTTAAATTTCTTTTGCATTGGTTGTGCGCTTTTTCTTACGAGTATTTAGGTGTAACTGTAAAAGAGTTCAGTTTCTGTATAGACGTAATGTTTCTTGAAATATGGTGCTCATGCATACATGTAACGTTAAAAAAGTAAAACGTGTTAATTCATAATTAAAAACGTAACGCAAAAGTAACGTGTGTTACTTTTAACAGTAACGGTAACGCCTTCCTTTTATAATTTTGAGGTAACGTAGGTCGTTAACGCGTTATTTTTATTTGCAAATAACGAATAACGTATTTCGTTACTTTTTTTCTTGTCGGTGACGCCTACGAAACTGCTTTTATGTCATGTTCAAGTTGGACGGTTGATAACTCCTGGTTGGCGAAATTAATTATTGAGCCTATGTCTGTTCCCGGCAGTTCGTAGAAGTTCGTAGTTGATGTCCTTTCGTCAGATCTGTTAGGCACGACGTCAAATGTCGCATGAAGAAATAAAATAAAACCAAAGTTAATGTCGTCAGCCAGAGTAGATGCCTGGGATGCGGCAACTTCCTTAAAAAGAGTCAAAGGTGACTCTCTTTGATACTGTATATCCGGCACCGACCACTTTGGCATGAGATTCGTGCTGCTGAAACACATCGCCGCCTTCAAATATTTCAAGTTCTCCAATGAAGAAAAAACTTTGACCTCGACCATCGTATTTTTAGTGTCTTTAACCATAAGTTGCAGGAACCCAGATGACATTTTTCCTCGGTCGTATATATACTGTCAGCTCCGCTGTGCAGAGCAATTGTCATTACAAAACTTCTGGAATTCTTTCGACCGATGTCATACTTTCACTCGCTAAGAAGATTCATGTGAAAAAAATAAAATGCATATTTCATCACAATCGTTATCGACGTCTCTGTGCCTCATGTTTCTCGACCACAAAAAAAAAACTAAAAAAAATATCTAGGTATTTTTAGCAAACTATTTTGCTAATGCGATCATTTTCGGGAAGCAACAAGGTGCTAATTGTTTAAGAAAGAAGTTAGATAGTAAAGTTCTAAGAAAAAAAGTCATTAAATGTCTTGTTTATTCAGTACACACTTTACCGAAGTCTCTAAAGGGATCACTCCTCAACAAATGGGTTGAGGAGTGATCAGAGAAATGTAATTCGATCAAATCGGTTCAACTACTGCTTTACTGAATTCTCAATGCGATTACAGAAAATGGTAGTGGCTTTTGTCACATCTTCGTTTATGCCTGTGTTCCTGGATCATTCAGTCTCATATAAGCATATTTATTTTTATTTATTCGTAGCTAACAATGCCTAACTTTCACGACGTTTGGAAACAATAACTAGCTAAAACAGAAAGCAAAAGAAGTAGAAAGGAGGATGGTACAATAGACTGAAAGGTTAACCAACGCGTGCGTTACAAGATTCGACCAGTTTGTCGACTTCCAAAGGTAAACCACATTTTCCCGAAGTTCGTGAAAGAACAAATTAAAAAGCCATTATAAAAAAAAAAATGGTACGGCGCGTCTTTGCAACATCAGTTGAGAAAGCAACCGCAGCGCGCACGGATGGTGGTGCTTCAATCAACTGGTGACAAGAAATGGAGGAAGAGAAGCCTTCAGCTGCAGCCTTTGTGGGAGTTTGCATACTACAGTAGAATACCGAAATAACCCCCCGAAAGATCGCCCACCTGGTATTTTTCTTATTTCTCTCTTCATGGTAGGTGCGGCTTCCTTTTGGAGGTTTTACAGTAATAATATGTACACTTTCTTGCATCTGAACATATGTACCGTGGAAAAGGTTAGAACCACGAGCTCATAGCTCCGAGAGTTGCTCCTGTGTAAAAGTTCGTGCAGCCGAGGTTCGCCCTTCAGCAACGAGCTCGTATTTGTAGCTTTCCCTGTTGTACATCGAAAAATTAAGCAGGGGCGGATCCAAGGGGGGGGGGGGGGGAAGAGCGGGGGGAAGAGCGGGGGGCAACGGGAGCCGTCGCCCCCCCCCCCCCCCCCCCCCAAAACGGAGTTGACTCCCCCCCCCCCCCTCCCCCCTTCTCGGAGGGCAATTTGACATGGGTGTACCCGCCGGTGCACAATAAAGAATAGGAGAATAGTATCCTTACAAATTTTCCACCCCTCCCCCCAAACGGAGTTCTTGATCCGCCCCTGAGATTAACCGGACTATTGTTACGATCGCACCAGGCGAATCATTTCGAAGACCACAAGCCGAATCCACACACTGCGTGTGAACGTCGCTAAAGAACCGGTGTTGTTCCGCCAACAAAATTATCGCGATAGAGTCAGGCTAGGATGTGGAATATGTTTCAATATTCAAAACAATGCAGAGAAATTAACCGTACTTGATTGAACGTAACAAAGTCTACGATGCCGCCGAAAGAGAAAATATTTGGTGTAACCGGGATTCGAACTCCGGCTTCGTAGCTTTTGTTCCATTCGATCATGAAGTGCAGTTTGTTCATCCGCATATTTTTGAATATTTCCTCTTTGGACACGACGTATGACGATGAAAAGTGCCCATGATATATTTTTTTAATGCTGTACATAATTATTGTGTCACATGGAATTGGAGTTTGTTGTCAAATGAGTTACATTATAGGCCGTACCGATGCTGAGAAGGGCCATACAATGTTTCAGTTGCAACACTTCTTCGAAAACATTAAAATAGATTTGAAATGAACAGACGCCTACCAAAAGAGGGTGGATTTTGTATGACTGTCATAAAATAAACACTGCTAGTTGGTTTAGACTCAACTGCAGACAAACTGCAAATGATGGCATTTTCTAGGTCTAACCCAAAAGGCGCTCTGATTAGTTGTACTCTGACCTTCACACACGAACTTTAGACTAGAAAATAAGCACCTGAGGGTCTGTTTAAAAAAACACCAAAGTTATCAGAAGAAAAAGGCATTCTTTTTTTTTTTTTTCCTTCGACAAGAGTCAGTCACGGTGTGGTTGACGCCGAAGCAGAGGCTTGCCCCGAATCTTTAGACTTCATCGACTTGCTCGGCTCGAAGTAGGGATACTCTCCCTGAACGAGCAGCTCGAAGTCCCGGTAGCGAATCTCCTTTCCCAGATAGGGTATGTAGATACAGCGATGGGACGGTATCACCTTGCCCGGCGTGACCTCTCCCTTGTGCACGTGGCGGCCAACGTACAGGAGTTCCCCGCTAGGGGTTCTCCCGCCCACGATGGCGTTGCGAGGCATTACGCTCCCGCCCATCCGGACCTAGGGACAGAAGACAGCCGTTGTAAAAATCTCATCGTTTAAAAACAACTGCATTTTGCCCACGGGACTTATCCGCATTGTGCACGCGCAGAATCACTGTTTTTCCAAGAAAGCTACATTTGCACATGTCCCGATCCTGGGTCAGAGCCACCGGCCTGGCATGACGTTAGAAAGCATGGGTCCTAGGACGTGGAAAAACAGAAATGTTCACCATCTAAACTACCATCAGCAGCCAAGAAGACCGCAATCAGGTCAAAAAGGCAAAGGGCGCTATCCCTTATCTAAAACATCATAAACCGGACGAACTCTTGCTTTGATGACAACATGCTTGACAGTGATTGTAGCAACTCTGCCATGTTAGGTACAAAACGACCTAAGTAGGTGGCCATGCCCATCAGCCGTCGGAGTTCAGTCACTGAGATGCCGAGGCCAACCTCCAAGACTGAACTCCGACGGCTGATGGGCATGGCCACCTACTTAGGTCGTTTTGTACCTAACATGGCAGAGTTGCTACAACCACTGTCAAGCATGTTGTCATCAAAGCAAGAGTTCGTCTGGGAGACCGCGCAGGAAAAAGCATTCTCAAACTGGAAAAGACTACTCTCATCAGATCCAGTCCTCGCGATGTACTCCCCGAAGAGACCAACTAAAGTCACGGCGGATGCCTCCTCGTATGGCCTGGGCGCTGTCCTACGTCAGCAGCAAGATGACGGTCGCTACGCTGTCATTGCCTATGCTTCCCGAGTACTAACCGAGACTGAACGCCGTTACGCTCAGATCGAAAAGGAAGGCCTTGCTCTCGTCTGGGCCTGCGAGAAGTTTCACGACTACGTCTGCGGAACTAAGTTTTGCCTGGAAACGGACCATAAACCTCTTGTCTCGCTGTTTGGGTCGAAAGCGATTGACGACCTGACACCTCGACTGCAGAGGATGCGCATGCGCTTAATGCGGTACGCTTTTGAAATCATGTACATTCCAGGCAAAGACATCGCCGCCGCTGACGCTTTGTCAAGGTCTCCGCTGCAAGGGAAGATCGAAGACAACGAGCTGGAAAAAGAGATCGAAGGCTACATAAACCAGCTGTTTTCAACGCTGCCAGTTGCTCCCCCTTCGTTGCAAGAGCTAAAAAGGGAACAAGAAGAAGATGAGTCCTGCCGCCAACTCCGCTCTTTCACACAAAAAGGCTGGCCAAGTCATCGTGATCTGCAGCCTTGCCTGAAGGAGTTCTGGCCGCATAAAGACCATGTCACCGAAGTCGAAGACGTCCTTATGCATGGCATCAGAATCATCATCCCGAAAAAGCTCCAGGAAGCAACTCTTCGCATTCTGCACGAAGGCCATTTTGGCATAGATAAATGCCGCGCGAGGGCAAGAAACGCAGTCTGGTGGCCAACAATCGACGCTGACATTGAGAATTTGGTGAAGTCATGTCGGACTTGCCTCCAACAGAAAGGAAACAGGAAAATGCCACTGAAGCCCACGGAGTTTCCGGAAAGACCATGGCAAAAGGTCGGCATGGACCTTTTCTTTCTTGGAGGGTCGTGGTGGCTGATTGTCACTGATTACTACTCGAGGTTTCCCGAGTTAGTGAAGCTCACTAGCTTGACTGGCAACGCTGTCGTCACAGACTGCAAGTCCATCTTTGCAAGACACGGCATACCGGAGGTAGTCATCAGTGACAACGGACCACAGTTTTCCAAAGGACCCGATTCATCGTTCGCATTGTTTGCGAAAGAATATGGGTTTAGACACACAACTTCAAGTCCCCACTATCCACAAAGTAACGGTCTAGCAGAAGCTGCTGTAAAAATAATCAAAGGATCCCTGAAAAAGTCGGGAGACCTGTACCAGACTCTTCTTACCTACAGGGCGAGCCCCCTCAAGAACGGTTACTCACCTGCGGAGTTACTAATGGGTAGAAGAATCAGAACAACTCTTCCAACTTCTTCAAACAGCCTGCTTCCTCGTCTCCCAGACAAAGAGAAACTAAGGGCGTACGAAGAAGAAAGCAGGAAGAAGCAGAAACTCTGGTTTGATTCCCGCCATGGGGTGCGAAATCTTCCTGACTTGAACGTCGACACGGACGTCTGGGTAGTGGACCTCGAGAAGTTCGGCACTGTCCACAGGTCAGCTGAGGAGCCGAGATCTAACTGGGTGGACACTGGCGATACGTCCGTTCGCCGCAACAGGACACACTTAGTTCCGATGCCTGAAGCGACCGCCGAAACCACCCATCGTCGAAAAAGTACACCGAATGTACCTCTGTTCGTTCCTGCATGTACCGACACGAGCCACACACACACGACAAGTGGAAGATGTGTTATTCGACCAAAACGTTACGCCACCTGACTTCCTTGTTAGAAAAGGGAAGATGTGAGACACAGACTCTTATATAGCGCTGTAGTCTCGTTGTATATATGTACAGCTTGTAAAGGAAAAGGAATTAAAGAGCACGCGCCTCGCGCTTCGCGCTGCGCTGGACATTCTATCAAACAAAGGGGAAGCCTGAGCTAGTTATTTCTTAAGCGGAAAACTACGAAGGAGTAATCTACAATTTTCTCTCCCTGTGCCTGGTCCCGCATTGTATCAGTTAAACGGGAAGAACTGCTGGGAAGTCTGAAAAGCATTACGTCCATGTTATGGAGGCGTTTCGAAGGAATGCAGCTGACCTATAACATTTAGAGCCCTTTCACAGCACGCTGAGTAGATATCATCACGAGATCAACAGGAGAGTCGCATGCGTCATGAATGTTGAACTCCTTAACAAAACGTTTATTTATAACAGCCCCCACGTGAGATGAGCTTCCCGAACTACTGATCAAAATGACAAACTCCAGTACACTTGCTTTTACAGTATTTGCAGAATTATCGGTCACCGTCAGGTTGGTCATGCAAAACACTTGTATTTAATGCTAATTGCGGAATATTTGCATATATACAGGGAAGGTTCGATACTAGAGAGTTTTGGTAGATCGTGTCGATACCTCCGATACCCCCGATAACAATACGGAGCATGTGTAGAGGCGGTGATCGTTATCGGAGTCATCGGAACGATCTACTAAAGCTCTCTAATAGAGAGTTTTAGTAGATCGTTCCGATGACTCCGATAACGATACCCGATACTCCGCCACCGCCTTTACGCATGCAACATATCGTTATCGGGTAACGTTGTCGTGGTATCGGAACGATCTACTTAAAACTCTCTGGTGTGCCCTCGAGCTCCACCTATCAATCCGATCGTCTTCGTTGTCTTTTCGCGACAAGAGCCAGTGAGGAAATCTGCTTCTTACTTCAACACCTCCTAAATGACATAGTAAGTGCATACGTTGCAGTGAGGTCGGTTCAATGTTGTTTCACTACGCACGTTCAATTCAATTCTGCAACACTCTACTGCGCAGTATTTATTCGATAATGATCTGTGCATGTGTCATGAGTCCGTGAATATATTTTTCTGACTTTTCTCTATCGCGCACTATACTACCGCAGCTACAAAGAATATTCCTCCTCATTTTCAACGGTATATGCGCTGGAAAAATAAACTTTACACAGGAGTAAATTTACTTACACCTGAAGTGGAGCAGCAACACACGACCGGACTACCGATTAAACAAAACACCTGGTTCGGAAGGAAATCCTAGGATTTCTATAAGAAGTTCTCTACCAACAAAGCGTAGCAGCAATTAGCCGTCAGTAGAGGGGACGCACGTTAACAGTTGTCACTAGTCTTGATCGCTACCACCGCGAGGGTGAGAAGTCTGACGTCTAATTATTATATTCTAAACAGATACAAAAATTGGCTATCAACGGCAGCATAGCAATTTCTCATCACAGTGCATAGGTGCGTCTAAACGTTAACACTCTCTCACCCAAACATATTGGGTGGAGGGCGACTTGGTGAGCACGTCGTAGACATTGCTCGAGAACTCCATCTGATCCAGGGATACGAAGCACACCCTGGCTGAGGTGAGCACCTTGCCTGGAAGCACGTATCCTCGCAGCATGATGCGGCCGACGTAGAAGTTTTCGCCATTCAAGTTCTGACCTCCGACAACGGAGTTGCGCGGGACGTTACCGTCGGAGGCCTTTACCCATTCGTCCACTGCAATGCAAGTTAGACTCACTTCAATTGAGCGGACCGCTTTAGACTGCGCGTTCCGTAGCATAAGACGAAATATGTGATTGTATTCTTTTAGCAGTTTTCATCACTGATATAGGGTGATAACGGCAGGGCGTTTGTTTCTGATGCCCGGCATCCAGCACGTCCCCGTAGCTTTCCGCCGTGCTTTCACCGCGCGTGCGCGCTCAAAGGTCACGAAACGCCAAAGCGTTACCAGAGCTAGCAAGTTCACCCAGGAGGCGGGACCACCGAAATACCTTCCTGCCGTTCTGATCCTGCCCGTTATTATAGTATTCACCGAATGCCATTGTTTAACGCGTTGCCTTCTCTGATCGTTCGCCAATAACAACAATCCTGATGGTGTGGAGGGTACGTTGCAGAGGCATTGTGCAAGCTCACTGTCAGCACGCGCTCAGCAGCAACAGGCCTAGCCTTAAAAAAAGGGAGCCAACGCAACTAACCTTTTGTCGCATCAAGACGTCGAACCACTAAAACTAGTGATGGTGAACTAGGACGTGAGCCTGCCACGCCAGGGCCGGTTTGCTCATCTTGCGGCCGCGGACGCGGCTGCGGCCAAGAGGGATTTTTCTGTCACGTGACGAGCTCCACGGGGACAAGGAAGGACCTAGCGTCCCTGCCTAATGGTGGAGAAATCCGTATCGCTTCAAGCACAAAAACCTAATTTTGCTCGCAGGAACTGAACGCAGGAACTTTTAACTGGAGTCCAATTGACCGACCCTTTATACTGTAGGAGCGGCAGGTAAAGTTATGGCCAGGAGGGGTAAATATGAGCCAAAAGAAAGGAAAAATCACGCGAGATAAAAGCGGCGGCAGTATATTTATATACCTCAGCCAGCGGCGGCGGCTCGCGCCTTCTTCTGTGCCCGAGAGGTTAGAGCGCCGGCACTTGGCGTCGCGGCGTGAAAGTCCCGGGTGCAAGTCGTGCCAGAAACTCTTTTTTTTTTTTCTTATATTTGACTGCACTCCAACTAAGAATGTAGACAAGGCCCTATAAGCTCTATAAAATCATTGGGCGTGTAGCTCTGACTCACCAGTTCGTTGTTCATGACCTCGGAAGAGCGCATACATGTCTCTGACTTTCTTTACCAACTGCCCCCACGCCTACTGCATCTGCCGTACATTCTGCGGAAAGTTGACAATATCTTCCCATGCCCGTCTCTTCGATCGCCAGGTAACTCTGCTGCTGAATTTCTCTGGAATTTGTTGTTTCCGTTTTCCAACTGCTATAATTAATTCTATGTGTTGATCCAAAGTCATTTTAGGTTTTGGGGTGAGAGGTATGGTTTGCGATGTCGACGCCTGATTCATTTTTACATTCGGTTCTCATCGTCCGCTATTCTAACTAAAATTTAACAAGTAATGTGTTAATATTACAAAACGATTGCCACAGCAAAATGTAAAGAGTAAAAATATACCTTTTATCACATTCCATGCAAGTAAAATTATGATTTCTTTTATTACTACTTTCTCAGACGTTTGACTTGCTGCCTTGCCTGTAGGATTTCGCTCAATCAATGAATTTACAGCTGCTAGTCTTTATTACTTTTTGCTTATTTTGTGGAAGTTTTTTTCTTTTAATTGGCACTACTGCAGTTTCTCGTAGTACTAAATAGGCGCCTTCTGTTATTGAAAGGTATCGTAGCAAGAGGGTTGTATATTTAAAAACACATAAACTTCTAGTTGCTGGGGAAAGGATGCTTGTTTCGGCTCCGTTTGTGCGAAAGCCATACCGATGCGGTTACCTTGGTTTCCTTTTAATGAGCATTATGAAACGATTGTATTAGCGCGTTAACTTGCCTTGATTTTTTTTTCTTCCCGGTGTTTCGATTGAACAGGTAGGACTAACAGTAAAAACTGTGTAAGGCGAAGTAGTGCAAGTGGATGATTCGTAAAAGGGATCACAGTAAAAAAATGAGACACGCGCAAAATACAAAAAAAAACTGCCCGGCGCGATTTGAACCCGGAACTTTCAAGCCGCGTCGACAAGTACCGCAGCTCTAACCTCTCGGCCACAGAAGAAGGCGCGAGCCGCCAATGCTGGCGGAGGTAGATAAATATATAGTACCACCGCTTTTATCTCGCGTGGTTTTTTGTTTCTTTTGGCTCATATTTACTCATCCTGGCCGTAACTTTACCTGCCGCTCCTACAGTATAAAGGGGGCGGTCAATTCGACTCCAGTTAAAAGTTCCTGCATTCAGTTTTTGCGAGCGAAATTAGGTTTTTGTGCTTGAAGCGATACGGATTTCTCCGCCATTAGGCAGGGACGCTAGGTACTTCCTTGTCCCCGTGGAGCTCGTCACGTGACAGAGAAATCCCTCTTGGCCGCAGCCGCGTCCGCGGCCGCAAGATCAGCAAACCGGCCCAGGTCTCTCTACTACATGGACTTTAGTCACTCCAACATTCGCTTGTTCTCAAAAGCGACCAGAGTTGGAGTGGACTGTGAAGAAAACGTCAGCCTGTCTAATTCTGCTGAAATAATTGTATTGTGAGGTCTAGACAGCCGGAAGTTAACCAGGCCTAAAGAACGCCTCATGTCCCAGCTGCAGATGAGAAATTTTTTCAATGTCGTAAGACTGCTAGCTTGAGCTAGTTAACGTGCATTCCGCATATACACGACCGCCGGGCCGGTGCAATGCTCATCCAGATCGAAACGGAATTCTAATGGGCTTGAACACTGAAACTTGATAATGAAACGAAATGCCCCAAGCTTTGTATGCGAAATGCTTAAAATGACTGTTTAATATCTTGGAGGACGGCAGGCATTAAGCGTCTCATTAGCACTCTCTGGCAAGGAAAGCCAAGCGGTAATGATAAAATGGCGGACGTCCTCACCAGTGGTCTCGGACGACTCGTACTCGCCTTCGCTCTCGACGTGCCTCTTGCAGCGCTCCGCCAGCGACATAATCGGTCGCTTGACGACACCGCTTTCACCATCTGCTGGCAGGCGTCCGACCCAGTCCAATTAGCCGTTTTCCTCCTCTTCATTTGACTCTAGTGGCGATTTTCGTTGAAGTGAATCGGCAACTCAGTGTTTTAAAAAGGCAACACTGATCATTTATTTTAACACAAAATGTGCCAAGGAATAAACTTAAGGCTTGAATTTTATGCAAAAGTTGTTACGCTCGAGCGCAACGAAAAACAGTTAAACAAAGGGCGACATGGAGCATACATAGCCCATAGCGGGCAAGGCATAAGAATTTAAAGAATACAAGGCACGCTTACTCTTGATTATTTTTTTATACTTAAATATTATTTATGGCAATCGGCAAGATTTACCAAGCGCCGCTGCGGGAATCGAAGTCCGGACTGTGCGATCCGCTGCCCGACACCTTTGTTTTGCGCCACAAGGAGGAGGCGGTAGGGGTGCAATGTAGCTGGGCTAAGTCCACTACTGGATCCTGGTAATGTAGCACCGTTAACTTCCCTGCCCGCTAGTAGGGCACAAACGGATACTTACATACAGATTACCAAAACCTCGCAAGGCGATCAGCTGATCGGTATTTTTTGCCATGGTAATCGCCATTTTGGTCCTTTCAAATCTTCGAAAGGGTCGCTCGTGCCAAGATCGCTATGGAGAGTCATTGAACTGAAAGCGTTCCTTGCAAATGAAAGCGTCCTTGGCACTGTGTATGCAATCACCTTGTCAATCATGCTTATCTCCACAGGGTTCTTACCATGATATTGTAACAGATCTGTTGGTGCTGGGAGGCACTTTTCAATAGGTCTGTTCGATTCGACCAGAAAGTTCTGAACTAGTTCAGTCTGCGTTCAGAGGAGTGCGGGGATCGTGCGGCGACGACACAGCCAGTGCAGCCACCGCGTTAAGACTGGCGCTGTAATCGATTTCCGGAGCGGAAGAGCGAGGTGTCGACCACATGAATACTCATGAGCTAAGCCAAGGAAAAAGTTGAAAAATCATTTCATGGTGCCTTTAACGGAAGCTAAATCTTAGCGCCCATTTCTTTGTGTAGACGTGGTCTCCTTAAGGGGTATTCACACGAGGAAGAAATCCCGGGGATTTCTCTCCGGCAAGCGCATCCCACGACAAAAACGTCAAGATCTTCGATGTGCAAAATGGTGCAAAAGCCTCGCGTTTTTATCTCGTGATGCGCGCATGCCGGGGAGAAATCCCCGGGATTTTTCCCTCGTGTGAATAAATGACAGCAGCTCACAAACGCCACGCCAGTCTTTCGTACGTAAACGCAAGAAAAGCGAGTTTAGAACGAATAAAACGATTTCCCAATACCGCCTCGTAGTTGGGGGGCCGAGTTTCGTTGGATTTTCTTACATCACGGTGATGATGATGCGGCTGTTTCTTTTAGGTCGGGCGGGCTTGAACAATATGCATGCCCAAGCCTGGGGACATTTGCGTGTTATTGCCCCCTAAGGGAGATATTTTTCCGCTAGTCCTCTAATCGTCTCTTTATTGCCTCGACAGACGGCCTATGTGGGCCGCTAGGGGCCGTAGTCTCGTTCGAGGCAGGACTGTCCGCTGGTGCGGATGGCCTAACCTCAATGGTTTGGTGTCCATCCCTAGTAACAGTGAAGCCCAATACTTCGGCAAGCTCCAGAGATCTTTGAAGGTCTCGGTTGTTGTCTCGTGACCGGGATGGCCGGACTCCTGCACATTCCAGTACAATGTGTGCTACTGTTTCGTCGTGGGCCCCGCACACCCGGCACACGCTCGTGGTCACGGTAGAATCGAAGTGTCGTCTGGAAGACATTGTCCTTAGTGCCCCGGCTCGTGCCTCAAATAGCAAACGACTACCCAGGCTATTATCGTATAGCCTAGCCTCCCAGTCGATGGTCCTCTTGTTTGCAACATACACATCGAGCATAGTCTTCAATTGGGCATCTTTGAGCCACTGCTGTGTTTCCTGGTCGCGAACCTTTTTCGGGACATCACTCTACCATTCCCTGGCCGACGACGTTTGGACAGGGTCGGCAAAAAAACCGTACTTGCTTTCGAGCTGGTATAGGCGTTTCTGCCAGCGGGTTTGCAGCCCAGTCAGTTGAGTGCACCTGAACAGCCTTTTAGCTTACCGGCAGGTGTCCACATGTCGGAGACGTCCGTCGTAGGCAATTTTGCTGGTAGCTTCACGGGCTTCAAAAAAAGACAATCCCACGGGCCAATCAAGAGCAACGCCACGGCGCGGCGTGTCCGATGGAGGCGCGCGGTAACGAGCGGCGCTTGGCACACCTCTCAGTTCTAGTACATCACACCTCGGGTAGTACCCCTCGGCGGGATTGTAACACGTTGGTGATAAAGCTGGTGCCACCTAGTGTCGACGATCGTAATTACGATACCCTTAGCCGTTTATGGGCCCGTGATTTTGCGAAAAGACGACGAAGTGCTTTGAGTAAGGAACACAAAATTTTGCTCTCTCGGTATCTTTTACGTTTGAAACCTATGTACTCGTATCCTGACCTGGCAGTTTTGTTTCGGCAAGTGGAACTGGGCTTGTCTCTTACTACCAAACGCCTCTGCATGTAAGGGACCATGCCTCCATCTGAGAAAGTAGCGAAAATCGGTGACCATTCATCTTCTGATGTCACTCTTGGGCAACGCCCAACGGTAAACCCCATGGAAGACAGCCGTGCTGCCACTCCAAACGCCTCACCCGAATTTTCTAACTTAGGACATTCCGACATGGAGCAGGACAACGACTCTGGAGGACAATGGTGCATCTCTGGAAATCGGAAACGTGTTCGAAGTGATGACTCACTCTCCGATTCTGGCACAACACGTGTGCCAAACAACGTCTCCAACAGTCTCACCGTCGTATTCGCGTCTCCAGCTCGACGCTCGCCCTCCCGCGGCGGAAACGGGAAGCGCTCTAGTGAGGGTCCCCCGACTCTCCTGCTCAGCGGGCATGGCGGAACTGCTCGCGATAATGGCTCTCGAAATGTCGTTTCCGAATGTAAACAAGACACTTCACTGTCCCAACGTAGTGCTGCAGCCGGTATGGGATTGTACCTTACTGGAGAGTTTTAGTATTGCGCATAGAAGCAAACGCAAGCGGTATGCGTTTGCGTTAGAGTTCCGTGCAACACGTTGTGCGTGCGCCCCACCGCCATGCGCCATCCAAGGCCGCAGTTTCGGGCTCCGCGCACGCGCAGTGCAGAACACGTAAAGCTAACGCAAACACACAGGGCTGGAGTTCGCTCGTATACGCAATATTAAAACACAACTGTTTCACCGGCTTCCAACGCCAACGAAACGTGCTGCAGTGACCAGACGAGCAAGCAGGTAGGCGTTCCTTCGAACTGGAAAGGTTGAGATTGGGAAAACAACGGCGAGCAAATACAAAAGTAAATAAATGTTATGAAAAAACTAATAATTAAAAAAAAGCTTCTTTTTTTTTGGGGGGGGGGGGGGGCATTTGGTTTGGAAGGTTATTGGCGGCGACTTGGGGCGTTTCGCCGGTTGTCAAAAGTCGCGACTTTGAGCACAATATACTTTATTCACAATTAATGTAATTTTACATAGATTTCTCACATTCGCTAAAATGTTTTCATTGATTTTAGACTATTTTTTTATCGGTAATTAAAATGCAGCAACTGAAACCAGTGATGATAATTAGCACAGTTTTTATTGTCATATTTCTTCGCGCGTTTAAAATTAGATCATAAGCAACATATTATATTAGAACTTGAAGAATTACTTATTCAAATATGTGACTTTTAATATTATTATTATTAATACAAATCGCGGCAAAGTATGCCTCCAATTAACGCCAAGATCGCGAGAATACGCTATTCAACAATAATAGTCTTTCCAGAAAGGTATAATTTTGTTTTCTTTTTAGCATATGAAAAACTCTGACATAGTTATCAAGATAGACAAACAGTCAAACACTGGATGTAATATGAAGTCCTACACGTCCCGCGGTGCTATAAACACACACACACACACACACTTCAGCTGTCTGACTCGGATTCCGTCTTTGGGTTGTTGCAGTGAGAGCAGCGTTTATTAGTTTATACGTTTCGTGGACATATTATAAAAATTAGAATTATTTTCTTATTCTTGTGCTGGAATAATTGTCATTATTTCCCATGACAATTATCTGAGCGAGAGAAAGGCTGCGAGAACGCACAGATATCATCACTGATTTTTTCAGCAACTACAAATATCACCCTGGATCGAACAATATGTCACAAAATAAAGTTTCCGCGGACAACTCTTCTAAGTAAATAATTACGATGTGAGACACATCTTGAGTCGTGAAATAACTCGAAATTAAGGCCTATATCGAGAAATTAAATCCAAAATAGAGGTAAGTTTCGGTTTCGCTCCAGAATTAAAACGCGCATCCTTCCGTAAAAAAATACGCTAAACACCGTTCTTGTTTTCAGGTTAAAGGGGTAACCTGCGCTCATAAAACATTAGCTTCCTTGTATTACCAGAAATAATTTATGTCGCTCAGTGAAGCCAGCACATTAGACGGGCTCAACTAAACCCGCCATCTTGGAAAATGAGTGGCGCCACCTATAGTTAGTTGGAGTCGCGGATATGCCCCGACTGACTCAGAGAAGAAATTAACTTCCCCTAGCAGTCTCAAGGTCACACAGGCTCTCGAGAAGATAAGTCCAGAATGCATTCTTCAAGTGCGCTACAATCAAAGACTCAACTTTATTGCAGTAGACGTCCGAAACGGACATGCCGCACAAGTGCTGATGAACAATACACTACTATGCGGTATCCAAGTTCGACCATACTCTCCGTTGTCAGGCAAAACAAGCGTCGGAGTAATTCACGACGTTGATGCGGAAGTCACCTATGAAGAGCTGGCACAACACCTACGATCAGAAGCCAAGATTGCTAATGTGCGACGACTTGGAAAATCTCGAGTCGTCAAAGTCGTCTTCAGCGGCAGCCACCTTCCGAGCCATGTCTTACTGGGATATGTGCGACACTCTGTTGTCCCATTCAAAGAGAAGCCCATACAATGCCACAACTGTGGCGGTTTCGAACACAAAA